AGGTGGCGATGGATTAATATTATTTCTCTCCCTTTCTCTCCATATTGTTTTTGTTGTTCTCCTTTTTCTCCTTCCCATCTCTTTATGCAGAGTTTTTTAATTAACAAAAAAAAACACAAGTGCGAAGTTAACTTATTCTCCTCCGTAGGTCGCGCCAGCAGCATTTCAATGCCGGGCTCCTTTTCAGAGACACAAGCCGTTGGTGTGCCCGTGGCGCTCCTGTTGCTGGATGGTTCTACCGTAAAGGGGACAATATTTACCTACAACCCAGTGGAGGAGCTAATTGTGTTGTTCCAGGGCATTTCAGGGAACACTCCGAACGTGAAGATAATCCGAACGCGCTTCATTAAAGAGATAAACGCCGTTAACGACGCAGAGGCAGAGAAGCTCCCACCACAGCTGGACCTCAAGGCCCGTCTGCCTTCCATGCATGCTGGTCGCGAACGCTCCCTTTTCAAGTACGCAAATTCGCAGCTTCGTGCTGCCCGAGAGAAGCGGGCGGTACTGCTTCAAACTGACGACAGAAATACACCCATTGCGGCACTTGATGCCCTCACTAAACTTGCCAGGATTTACCCCGATATCCACTGGGACAAGGAGGAAGGTGTCATCCGGTTCAATCAAGAGGTCTTCGTCAGGGGGACGCCCGACTGGAACACTCCGGTCGCCGTTGCTGCTGATGGAGCCACTGATAACAGCGTAAGTTTGGTCGGTCGCATTCAGAAGACACTCGCCAAGAAGTAAGTCTTCTTTAGGAAGAAGGAATATGAAGATAAAAAGCATTTGTGCCTCTTGTGCTCCCCCTAGCCTTCTTTTTTGCTGGTGTATGGGGGTGGGGTGCAGGTAGGAAGGAGCCATTGCTCTCACCCTCTTGCTCCTTATTCCTTTTCTTGGCTTCAGTTCGCCTCCGCCTCCCCCTTACATTCCTTTTCTTTTCCTTTTTGTGTTGGTGCCCTTTTTCACGAGCTAAATCCCCGCCACTTGAGTTTTTGTGGCAGCGGGTGATGAGTGCCGAAGAGACCTCCACGGTATCGACCACATCACTTTTGGCAGAGCAGCGCAATTTGTTGGAGAGCAGCACGAGCACCAACGCCGACGTCACTGCGCACGTTCAGCACCCGTCAGACGATGCGAGTAGGGCGGAGCGCAGAGCCTGGCGTGAGCAACAGCGTCTGCATCGCATCAACGGCCGATTAACTGACATTGGCTTAAACGACATTGCTGCGGTTAGAGGCGGAAAGTGTGATTTTTTCATTGAAAACACGATAGTTTGTATTCGTGGTTCATGTTCCCAGTTTGACGCCCGAGGAGGGAGAACAAAGAAGCTGATGCCGCCGCAGACGCACGACTGTTGTCAAACCTTCTCCACCATTGCCGCGGTCATACTTTCCTCACTTGGGTTGGCAGTGACGATGCAAGAGTGCAGTGACGTTTCCACCGTCAACTATTTGTTGTACATTTCGGCCTGGCTGCACCAACTTTCGGCCCCGCTCTGGCCGCAGCGACGGGCGCGACCCACCGTTGGTGACCTTAACACCGCTCTTAGACTTCATGAGTTTTTCCCTAGTCAAGTGAATGAGGGGGAATTCGAAGTGCTCTTTTATAATCAGCGAGACCGAGCAAAGGAGCTTGTAGATCAGTTGTGCCGCACGGTGAGGCGTAGCAGAGATGCTGATAGTTCCCCTTCGGTGTGTGGCTACATCATCGCATCAGGCGACTACACCGTATCTATTTTTTCGCTGGCACATGATGTGAAGGGTCGCCCCAATGCACGCTATAGTGAGGCGTGGAGTCTGTACATCTGCGACTCCCATGGCACACAACCTTGGTCTTGCGGCAAGGCCTGTCTGACTGGCATCACCGTTGGAGTATCTAAGGCGGGTGCCGAAGTGAGTAACGGTGTGGTGGCAAAGGAAGAAGGGCTGCGGTATTTCGCCATGATCCTATTCGCTCTCCTGGAGGATCATCGTACGAAGACAACCAGTTCACAACAGGTGCCCTACATGACGTGGTCCCCTATTAGGCGTCCAAGGGCAATTCTTTGCACGGCACAGGAGCTAAAAAGGGTCATTGACGATGGCTGGATTCCGTCCCTAATGAAGAACGCGGTGATTGCACGAGAGGCCAAAAAGTATGGCTTTGTCCCGTTGAAGTGCTTCTTGGGCCTTTCAGCCTCGAAACCCGCGACGACGAACGGCACAACGGAGCCAAGCTCAGGCCCCACCTAACACTCTAAGAAAAACGAGGCGTTTAGCTCATTCTCGGGGATGAGTAGGCCGTGAGAGTAAACGACGCGCCAAAGGAAAACAAAAAAAAAGGCGCGGGTACTTATACACGGAAAAGTGCAAGCAGAAGGAAAAAGGAGAGATGCAAAATGGGAGTGTTTTTGTGTTTGTTTTTTCTTTGCGCGAGATGTCCTTGTTATATTGTCCAAATCGTGTTTTTTTTTGCTTTATTTTTATTTTTAGCTGCAGGCGGGTAGGAGGAACCCCACCAGAGAGGGAGAGGAGTGGCGAGCGGATTAGTATATATATATATATATATATATATATATTT